GACGGAATACATTATTGCGACGGAATAACAACAGAATGCGACGAAATTAGGTCAAAATGAATACCACGTGTTTAACTATCTGCGACACACCGATTCCATCGCACTACCGACGAAAAAGTACGTCACCCGTCTGTCGCATATCTTGTGCGACGGAATTTTCCCATCCGATTGTGTCGCAAAATATTCCGACGAAATTTCGGTCGTAATTATTCGTCCAGGCCGTCTGACAAAATAATCGACGGAAATTTCCGTTGGTCTTGGTCGAAAATGCCGACGGACTGTACGACGGGTTGCGACAGATTGATTTCCCACTAATTCCGTCCCAATTCCGTCGTTTTCCATCGAATGTATTGTCAGCGATGGACATATCCATCGCAATTGTTGTCCGTAAATACAGTTTTTCTTGTAGTGTACACGCAATCCGATGATAAGTCATCTGATGTTTCAGTTAACTAAACGAACGAGAAAAGCAGTCGAATCTGATAAGATGACTGGCTCCATGTCTTATGTTCGACATATGATATCGCGTTACAAATGGATCATTGTATGTACTATTACTGGCTTTTGTTAGATCACGAGAATAACTTTATTCAGATTAGATAGTCATAGTGTCTTCCTTGAGACCGCCTATGACTTGTATTATCGGAATATAGATTCTGCATCTTACTACTATTCCGGATAAACCTACAGGTTCACACACACAGGGAATGACAAGTGCGTGAGGAAGAGATGAAAAACCCTGAGGTGACGGAGTCGAGACCGACCGGTCCACAGGGTTGGACCGATCGGTCCAAACATGGCCAGACTGACCTGTCCAGACCCATGGACCGAACGGTTCGGCCTCTGAAGCAAACGATGCGTCCGGATGGAAAAATGAACCTAGATCGACCGGTCCACAGGCTGGACCGATCGCTCCAGGCATCGGGGCAATCCTTCTCCCACTCAAACTAGGATTGCCTCGATGTCTAGATCGATTGGTCCAGCCTATGGACCGGTCGGTCTAGGTTACTTTTTCCGTCTGAACGCATCGTTTGCTCCAGAGGTTGGACCGTCCGGTTCATGGGTCTATATCGGTTGGTCTGGACATGTCTAGACCGGTCGGTCCAGCCCTGTGGACCGTTCGGTCTGGACTCCGCCAGCTCGGGTTTTTCGTCTCTTTCTCGCGCACTTGTTTTTTCCTATGTGTGTGACCTCGTAGGCTCATCCGGAATAGCAGTAAGACGGTCTCTAGCAAGACACTATGACTACCTAATCCAAATAGAGTTAGTCTCGAGATCTGACAAAAGCTAGTAGTAGTCCATACAATGATCCATTTGTAATGCGATATCATATGTCGAACATAAGATATGGAGTCAACCATCTCATCAGATTGGTCTAGGCGGATACTGTTTTCTCCGTTGCCTGAATGTGCCAAAGAATGCTTATTGTCCAACGATCGATCTTTCGTCAAGGACGATCGATCTATTGTCGAAAAATCTGTAAGTTCATGATTAGTGAAGTAATACAAAATGCATTTTTCATTCTCTCTCAACTTTTCTCTCTCATTACTCTCTAGAAGTGTAGAAGAAAATGATATAAATACTCTAGTATGTAATTTTATAAAAAAAAAAATTATAGAAGGAGTTATTACGAGAGTTAATGAGGATATGATGGGAAAGAAGATTAATATAACAATTTTGTGAAAAAAAGTGTACAAAAAAGTACGACATACTATATGAGAACTTTACAAAACAAAGAAGGTCAATGATTCTAGTAGTTTTTCCATTAAACTCAATCCTAATGAATTTAATCTTAATAATTTGGGTTTGTATTATTTGAAAAAGAAGAAATCGTACAAACAAAATAGAATAAAAATATTGGAAAGAATCATACAAATTATCTTAATAATTTGTGTCTGTATTATCTGAAAGAAGATTTATACAACAATTTGTGAAAAAGGTGTACGAAAAAAGTACAACCAACTATAATATGAGAACTTTACAAAACAAAGAAGGTCAATGATTCTATTAGTTTTTCCAATAAACTCAATCCTAAAGAGTTTAATTTTAATAATTTGGGTTTACATTTTTTGAAAAAAGAAATCGTACAAACAAAACGGAATAAGAATGTTGATAAAAAAGATCCTATGAATTTATTTGTGAAAAGCCTCAAAACTCATTTCAAGGAATAAGAAAGAAATGATAAAACAACAAAATATTAGAGAAAGAGTCATCAGGTTCACCAATATATTGCAAGACAATAGTTTTTGTGAAGCCTAGGATACCATAGGAGGGCGGGGAGTGATCGCCGGCGCGAGAGGCATGGACAGTGGGCGGCTCCTGAGAAGTTTTTGGGTAGGAGGTACAGAGATGAATCGAACGCAGTGGAATGAGAGGAATTCGAGGGTTATGTAGGTATGAGACTACACAGTTAAGGATAACTTAAAGAAATTGATTAAACTACTCATAGCAACAAGTTGCATCTATCTTTTCGGTTGTCCATCTAGAGAGAACTCCAAAGTTAAGCGTGCTGGCCTTGGAGTAGTCTTAGGATGTGTGACTTCCTGAGAAGTACTTTCCGGAATGTGTGCGAGTGAAGATAAAACACGCTAAAAGGTCTCGTGTTGGTGTGTGGGGATAACTCTATCATTCTGTAGCGGCCTCGGGTCGTTACAAATGGTATCAGAGCTAGTTCTCTTCTAGTACGGTGTGGTTCAGGACGAACCAGACGGAAGCTGGTGGGCATGTGACAGCCCAGGATACCGTACGAGGGCGGAGAGTGATCACCGGTGCGAGAGGCATGGACAATGGACGGCTCCTGACGAGCTTCTGGATAGGGGGTACAAGAATGAATCGAACGCATCAAAATGAGAGAGATCTGAGGGTTGTGTAGGTATGAGACTACACAATCAAGGATAAATTAAATAAATTGATTGAATTCATAGTAACAAGATGCATCTACCTTTTCGGTTGTCCATATCGAGAGAACTCCAAAGCTAGACGTGCTGGCCTTGGAATAGTCTTAGGATGGGTGACCTCCTAGGAAGTACTTTCTGGAATGTGTGCGAGTGAGGACAAAACACGTTAAAAGGTCTCGTGTTGATGTGTGGGGACAACTTTGACATTTTGTAATGGCCTCGGGTCGTTACAGTTTTCCAGTGCATTCTATTTTAAGTTTCAACCCTAACCTTCTGATTTTATTATGTCGGGTGCATAAACTGACAACAATGACTAATTAATTTATTTGGTTAATTCTCTTTGAAACACAATGTTTGTGAAGTCTGTTGATGAATTTAGTTTTGTGAAGACAAATCAAAAATTGTTTGAGATGTTGATAGGGCTCAGCGTTTCGGTTCGGTTCTTCGGAATCGGACTGAACCGAACCGAAAAATGGTATTTTTTCCGATCTAAAACCGTTCTTAATTCCCGTACGGTACCATTTTTAGAGAACCGAATTTTTTTCGGAACCGAACCGAACCAAACCGAATCGAACTTTAAAAATCTCAAAAAACCGAATATTTTTAAAGAAATCTATCCTTTTTTTAATAAAACCCGGAACCAAAACGAACCGATACCGAAACCGAACCGAATCGAATACAATATAAAAACCGATTGGTACCTATTTTTGTAAAACCGAAAGAAGCGAATCAATCAATTCCCGTTCCGAACCCGAACCGTTTACCGAAACGCCCACCCCTAGATGTTGATTATCTGATTGAGGAAATTGGAGAAGATAAAATTATTTAGCGATCAATCAAGCGACAATAACAACATTGACAACATTATTCAACCTGGATAGTTCAACCAGTGAAATGGAGGCGCAAAGCGTCAGTCCCGCCCCGAGTTCAAATTCCATGCTGGGGAAGAAGCATATAATTCAAATCACATGGCTGGCTCCGGTCCCGGGATTAATCTGGATCTCGGCCCACAAAACCCGGTTACCCAAAAAAAAAACATTGACAACATTGAATTAGCTCTTAGGCGGTTTTTTGCGGTTATTTTGCAAATCCAAAAAAATAGAATCCAATTATTTTGGTTGTATTGAGAGATAAACTCCATGACATTAACCATTTTGAGGATGTGCAACCAATTTCTTCTATAAAGCAACCGATTTCTTTTATTTATAAAATTCATCTTTACCAAAAAAAACTTTATAATATCAATTTGAAATAAAGCAGACCAAATTGTTGAAATCCCTAAATTTTGTTATGATCCGAATTTAATTAAATACCGGAACAAAGCAAAATAATAATAATAATAATAATAATAATAATAATAATAATAATAATAATAATAATAGACTGACAGGAGAGGAGAGATATATTTGGATTATATATGTGTATATATATATAGATTGTGGTGAGTAAAAGGAAATGAAGTACAATGTATCACAAAATCTTTGAACTTCCATTGAATTCGAAATAAATTAAATAAACAAAAATCGAAAGAAAAATATATTCTAATATATATTTTTAATCAGAAAATATTAGAATTCCATACAAGTTTAAGAAGCAAAAGAACCGAATGCAAAAGAAAATCGAAATGGACCGCTTAAAGTTCTGTTTGATGAAACCCAAATGTTATCAAAATTATATCAAAATTATTTTCATATGAAATTAAATTGAAAATCTAAAAATTTATGTTTCTATGAAATTTTTAACTAATTTCATGACCCCCCCGGGAAAATCAAATATATATCACCCCTCGTGAAATCAACATACCGGGGATAAGTTTCGTAAATATACCAGTTATTTAGGGGTACTTTGGTCAATTCATAATTCTTTCGTCCCCTCAACTGGCTCTCCAGCCAAGTCCTCCCCCAGCAGAGCAGCAACCTGAACCAAGACCAAGGAAGAGAAAGCATTTTGATAAAGCCACTGTATTAACTAACAAGTATGGCTGCTCTCTTGCTTGACATAAATTTGATTATTTATTACTTGTTGAGTACTGACTCTTTCCAACACGCGCCACTATGGTTTTTTCGCGCCACACTTCGTCTCTTTTCAACAGTTCAGATCAAACCCTACATCTTCCTGTCACACACTTTCTCTCTCTAGAAACATCCCAAAACATTCTCGCTCTCTGTGTGTGTGTCTAAAATTGTCGGAAGGAAGAAGATATGTTCTATTCGCAGACGTTTTTGGCTCGGAAAGGTCCATTGGGGACGGTGTGGTGCGCGGCTCACTTGCAACACCGCCTCAAGAAATCTCATTACACCTCCACTAGCATACCCAAAACCGTTGGTTCGTCCTTTCCCACTCTGTTCAGTTCGATTTTTTTTTTTGTTGTTTCGCGATGGTTTCGCCTTTCGTTGTCCATTGTTTTATCGACTTTGGTGTTAGTTCGTCGAAATTTTACATTTTTTGGAACATTTTCTGAATACCCATTTGGAAATTGACGGGAATTTTCCGCCTTTACTGCATAAGTATGATGGTTTTGATATGGGTATCCACCGAATCGTGTTTTTGCCCTGGGATTTATGTGAATGTGCTGTTATATGCCTTTGGGTAATCAAAAGTCGCATACTTTAGCTTGAGTTTTTGCTGTTTAGTCAGCATTTTCATTTTTGCCGGTTTTGATTTATTTCTTCATCGTTCTCTAATAAGGATTTCCCTTTTTGTCGTCCAATATATGATATGGTAGGAGCTTACGGAAAAATAGAATTTGTCTACATACAGTGAATGCCCTTCAATAACTGGTGCGAGACTTTGCTGCTCAAGCAAGTATGGTTATTTTGAAATGGGCATCCACCAAATCGTGTTTGTGTTATCGTGTGACCATAGGGTTATTGAAAGTTTCATCCTTTCGCCTTAATATTTTGTTGCTTTGTTAAATCCTCTCTTGGGTTTGGTTTGGTGTTCAGAATTCATACCTCGCTATATTTGCTTGTTTAGTTGATCTTATGCAGGATTGATGGTTTTGTTCATTGACTAATGAACAATTTGAACAAATGCAGAGCTTATAATGTTTCCTGAGGTGCCACTAGCATTGAGAATGTCTGGTCACCTTTTACTGGGAGTTGTGCGAATATACTCGAAGAAAGTTGATTACCTTTTCCGTGACTGTAATGTCGTCCTTACATGGTTAGCCAAGGCTTTCGTTTCGACCAACGTTGACTTGCCAGAGGAGGCGAGAAAGGCACCGGTTGAATCAGTGACTTTGCCAGAGACGTTAAGCTTAGATGATTTCAACTTGGATGATGACACATTTGAGAGGTGGCCTTCTCTTTTCTGTAAGATCTTTTATCTCCAACTAGGCTGCGGGTTTTAACATTCTCTTTTTGAACTTAGGGACTTTAATAATCATCTTAGGAGTCATGAAGAGATCACTCTCACAGGTACCTTTTACTTGCATATGTAGGTTGATAGCATTTATCATTGCATCCGAGCAGAAACGTTTATAACTTGAATGCCGATATTGCAGATCAAATTCCTACCAGCACTGATCCTTATGTTGCTGTAACTTTTGACGAGGTGAGACCTTTTACTTGCATCCTTGACAACTTGACTTCAAACCATTTCTGTATATTCGGATTACTCGATTTCATGTCCTGGAGAGCTTCTTACAGTAAGAAACTTAATTGTCTTTTTTTTCAGGATATCTTTCAAGATTTAAGACCCATGAACATCGAGTGAGGCTCTTAGTAGATTTTGACTTCCTTTACTACGGTCATTTCTTCTTCTTTTTTCCCCTTAAATCTCCATAACTTTATTGTAATATCATTACTTCTTTGCGATTTCAGCACTGACACCACTGTGCCTTTGAGTGGTAACCTGGATAATGTTGTTGAAGAAACAGATGCTGCAATGCCTAATGAGACTGAACCAAGCAATCAGCCAGGAAATTCTAACGTCGCTCAACCTGAATCTTTTGGTAATGATAATGGGACAGAAGAAGTTCCTGATAACGTGGAGTTCCAGGATTCTAGACCGAGCAACTTGACAGAAGTACTGAATACAGAGAACACTGACGTAAATTCTCCTCAAAGTGCTCCTGAGTTCGAGAGAATGCGTGATGCTACTCACGATTTCAGCCCTGGAATCCATCCATCCATTGCTCCGAAGCAAAGAAACGACACTGATGAACCGACTGAACTTTTAGATGAAACCCTAAATGAGAAGGAAAATCCAACCCCTGTTATTGCTGAAGAGATGTTAGATCTTGGAGGGCATTCAGGATTTGAGCTCTGTTCAGGATCACCGGCTTTTGCTGTCCGCGAGGAAGAATCTGCAAATTTCGGTGAGTACAAAACATAGCTTGGATCCCTTTTGTTTGTTTGTTTTCACCTGTATATGCACAATCTTGAATTCTTTTTCTTTATTTTTCTGTGATATGTATAAGTCCTTTCGTCACCTCAACTGGCTCTCCAGCCAAGTCCTCCCCCAGCAGAGCAGCAACCTGAACCAAGACCAAGGAAGAGAAAGCATTTTGATAAAGCCACTGTATTAACTAACAAGTATGGCTGCTCTCTTGCTTGACATAAATTTGATTATTTATTACTTGTTGAGTACTGATCAAGAGATTTATATGTACAGGGTAATGAAGCAGAGGCTGGAGGATCCTAGCGATACACTGCGGAAAAAGAGGAACATGCCTTCAACTAGTCTAGGGATTTGGAGAACGAATAAGCGGTCAAGGAAAGAACAAATGTTCGATGAACCTCTTTTAACTGGTTAGTTCTTCGTCGTCTTCCATTTTTGATTTCTGCTGTTTGAAGCATATCTTAATTGATTTTGATTGTGTGTACACTTGCAGGTTTATCAGATGATTTAAGCAATTGTTTCAGACAGGAATATGTTGCTTCAAAGCCACATCTTGCCGTCAGAGATGACACTGTCCCGGAACAGACATCTGTATTATCTCCTACTCAGGAAGCTGTCTCTGAAGTTAACCCGGAATTTACAACTGTTCAGTCTCCGATTCAAGAATCCAATGTTCCTCTGTCTCCTCATTCTGCCACCGAAGCTCATACAGACAGGATGGTTCATCAGTCTCCAGCTCAGGAAACTGAGGCTGTCCAAGATTTTACGGTTCTCCTATCTCCTCATCTTGGATCTGAAGCAACGGTAGCACGATCTGCCCAGTCATTTGGTAATGATGACATGGAAATCGAACGTTTTAGAGATGGAGCTCCCCCTGAGTTCCTGGACTCGCCCGCAAGATTCTCGCCTTCTAGAACTGATGAGTTCACTCCTCAGCCTGGAACTTCTGGGATGTCATCAGCCATGCCATCCTATACCGCCGAAACTTCATCTTGCAGAACCGAGTCTGAAATTCCAGGGACAATTCCAGAGGATTTCCCCATACCAGAGAATTCCGAGCTTTCAGATATTCCTGAAATAGATGAAGTTCGTTCTCACATTTCATGTGTTCTCCTTTTGTTTATCGTTTTGACCTCCATATCTCCATCTGATGACATTGAATGTGCATGTAGGAACTTTCTTTTCTGGAGGCAGGCAGCGATACACCGATAAAATCCGCAGCTAGTCGAAGATCTGGTGCTTTGTCAGTGAGAACAAGGTGGTCTTAGATTCTCTAACATGTAGTTCAAGAGGCTTCTGTCTTTCCCTTTGTCTTTCATTATGAATGGTGGACTTATCCAGCTGTTACTACCCCTTGCAGAGCGTTGGCTCAGTATCTAAAAGAACGTTCTGGAAGTAGCCCGACTTCCGAGGGTCCATCCGAAGATCTCAGCTTGAAAAAGATCTTGCAAGGAAAGAAAAGGAAGCTGTCTGCTCGGATGTTCTTCGAGACACTGGTGACTCTCAAACACAATATATATAGCTTTCGGGTCATTGCCTTGAGTCACACTTTCTGCCTCCTCCTTTCAGTTACTGAGTTGGTAGTTTGTATTCAACTGCAGGTGTTGAAGAGTAATGGGCTTATAGATGTGCAACAAGATCAACCCTATGGTGATATAACTCTGAAGCTGCTGCCTGCCCTTTACTCAAAGGCTCAACTATGAAGCTCTGTACATTGTGCAAGCATGCCCTTCAAGCCTTGTTGATGTGCATAGCCTGTAATACTCACTGAAACATGTGACTGGGAAGGAGAGTTTGTGGGTAGATAGGGATAGCCTTGGAGGGATTGAGAGTTTTAGACAGAGTGATCATAACCAGATTAGCTTGGTTAGTGAATCTAGAAGAGATTAGTTAGTTTTGTTTCATGGGCATTGGTCTCTGGATAAGGTTGTAAATGAGGAAGAGGCTAAGCTACCAGATAGAGGGACAAAGAGTTTTCATTTCCTTACACCCCCTTTTTGTATTCTTTTGTAATATATTATCTATGCATAGTAAGGGGTTGTTTCGGGAATAGTTCGGTTCGATTTTTTTGGTTTTTCAAAAATATGTAACAATTTGTTATTATATCATATTCGGTTTGGTTTCGGTTTGTTTCGTTATTGTTTTTTTATTAAAAAAAATTAGATCTTTTTAAGAAAATTTTGGTTTTTGGGATTTTTTATAGATTAGTTCGATTCGGTTCGGTTATAGAAAATTCAGTTTTATAAAAAAACATATCGTTAAGGAATTTTAGATGGTTCGTTTTGGGAAAAATATTGTATTTTGCGGTTTGATATGGTTCGGTTTCGAGACGTCCACCCTAATGCATGCAACGTAAGTTGTCTTTGTCCTCTTCAACCCTATTTCTTGGGCTCTGCACTACAAATCCTATTAAGAATGTGAAAATTCAAAGGCTTTGCTAATGCTTCACTAACGATTCTTGTCTTAAAAACATGTAATCATCTGGTCTTTGGAGAAGTGAAAGAGCAAAACACTAAAATCCAACATAATCCTATTGGAATCAAATCCAATATAAAAATTGAATAGTTTAGAATCGATAAATTCTAATTTAAACAAAAAACGAAAAAGAATAAATCAAAACTGAATTTCCTTTTAGAAAATAAATATTTTTATCAACGAAAATTAAACTCAACCACATTTTGTATAAATTTTGTATAAATATCGAATGGATATACTTTTTCCGCGATTGAAAAATTCAACTGGTGTGGAGGGATGTAATTTCTGGATAAAAAATGGTCTATATACTGATCTTGGATTTAGGATGGATGTAGTCGGACAGAAGGTTCGGGTTATAAAAAAACGGATAAAAAAAGTTTATACTACATAATTGAATAGTTTAAAAACGGATCAAAGCATGGAAATGAAGCTTAGCCCAATTTTAAAATATGGGCTGAAAAGCAGGCCCAAATCTTCTGGTTAGAGTCCGACCCATGACCCCGAATGTCCTAGGGTTTTGGCATTTCTTTCTTTCCTGTTTCTGGCTCTTATATATATTTGCCGCCGGTAAAGCACACGACTTTGCTTTCTAGGGTTTGAGCCACTCGGAGAAAAAGAAAGGGAACGTAGGAGAGCTCAATCACCATTTCCAATGGCGCCGAGGAAGACGCAGCAGGTGAGCAGAAACCCCGATCTCATCAGGGGAGTCGGCAAGTTCTCCAGATCGAAGATGTACCACAAAAGAGGTCTCTGGGCTATCAAGGCCAAAAATGGCGGAAAATTCCCCCACCACGACCCGAAGCCCAAGCCTGAGGCTCCAGCGGAGAAGACTCCCAAGTTCTATCCGGCCGAAGACGTCAAGAAACCGCTTGCCAACAAGCGTAAGCCGAAACCCACCAAGCTCAGGTACTATTCGTTGGTGGAATGTGGCTGAGTGTTGTAAAGTTTTGGTTTTGGTGGATATTGAAGTAGCGGGTAACTCTCAAATTTTGCTGGATTCAGTGGGCATTGTTGAATCCTGGGTATCTTTTAATTGCTTGGATATGTAGATAATGGATCCATGCGTTTTTGGGTTGCAAGACATTTAGATATTGTTATTACAAATTTGGTTGATTATAATCTGTTTACTGTTCAGCTGATCCTGATGGAGTTCAACCTGGAGATCTTTATGTTGCTATCAAGGTTTCTTGATTATCAACTTTTTTTTTGGGCATTTTTGGTGAAATATATCGGACTATGTTCTCGATAACTTGATCACATTCCTTGTTCAGGTTCGTGAAGATCCTGTTTTCCGTAGAGATGGAGCAGATATCCATGTGGATTCCGTTCTAAGTGTCACCCAGGTAATGTAACTGTCCATCTTTATCATCGGACTTCATTTCTCAAAGTTATTTTTGTTGCTTTGTCCTGGTGACTGCTGCTATATTCTTGTTGCCTTCAGGCCGTTCTTGGAGGAACTGTCCATGTACCAACCCTCACCGGTGGTGTTGTCGTGAAGGTTTGTAAACCTATTTTTCAACTTTAGTGTTTAAGGTTTACCGTAAGATCGAGTCAATGGCCTAAACTTCGCTACTGAAACCAGAGTTTTGAAAGCTTCCAATGAAGTCCGAAAATATTTATGAAGAGAACTGATACGGTCTGTGGGAAAGAGAGTTGTGTTCTTGAAGCAGCTTTCATCCGGACTTCTGTTGGTCACTGGTGAGTTTCTCTATCTAATCCTTCTGAAGGGCCTTTAGTTTTAGCTGTCGGTATCAGATTTGTTTGAGCTCCTTCTCTTGTTCCTCGTGACCTTTTGAAGGGCCATTCAAGGTCAATGGTGTCCCTTTGAGGCGTGTCAACCAGTCATATGTCATTGGAACATCGACCAAGGTTGACATCTCTGGTGTCAATGTTGAGAAATTCGATGACAAGTACTTTGCCAAGGCTGCCGAGAAGAAGAAGAAGAAGGGGGAGGGCGAGTTCTTTGAGGCCGAGAAGGAGGTTTGCCACTTGGATCTTTTCCTATGAGATTTCTCATCGATTTCGATACCCTTTTACATGATCTGTTTACTCATTTTATGTCACGGAATCTCCAGGAGAAGAACGTGATCCCGCAAGAGAAGAAAGACGACCAGAAAGCCATTGATGCGGCATTGATCAAGGTCATCGAGGCTGTTCCGGAACTGAGGGCTTACCTTGGTGCGAGGTTCTCTCTGAAACAAGGCGACAAGCCACATGAGCTTAAGTTTTAGATTTCGAGATTTTTTTTTTCGGGTTACCCGGTTTTGCTTCCTGTTTGTGCTGTACCAAACTCGGTTTCACCAAATGCACTTGTTCTTCGTTTGATTTGTGTTTGACGTCTAAGAGTCTTGGTGTTTACGTTAACGTTTTTACAAATCTTTTCACAATTTTCTTAAAGAGTATAATAGACTTTGTCTTTGAATCCACAATTTAATTTGCTTTTGCCAACAATCTTTTTTTTTTTTTTTGTGAACATGTACTTTTTTAATAGGAGTGTATTGCATGAGATTGAATACAATTATAAATTAACAGAAATGAGATCTGAAAATTGGGTAATATAATCACTTGAAGAAGTTGCTTGGAACACAAGGCAAACTCGCTCATGAACTGAGGGTGCCCTCAGATAATAAACTCCATCACACCGACCAGAGCCACCGCTCTGATGATCGGCGACCGAACAAGAGGAACAGGCTCGTAGCCCTCGGGGTCTCGCCACCTCAGCAATGTCTGAACCCCCTCTCCCGGCACCCATACATGCAAACCAATATCTAGGGGCGAATGTTTTGGGGGTTAAATCCGGGTTTTGATGAATTTAGAGAAATCATAACTATTCGATTTTTATAGTTAATTCGATTCTCGGGATGGAGAGGTCAGGAAAGAGTCGAACTCTTCGTCGAGCTCATTCAGGGTACATGAAGAGAACGTTAAGAGCAGGGCATGGACAATAACGGAGACTGAGTGACTGTTCGTCTCCATCGACTACAGGATGCTCTTCCAAAGCAGCTGTCTTTTGATGTCGGCTGCTTATATACATTGTTGTCTCGTCTGTAGCCCCTCGTCAGGACATGTTAATGGTCTGGTAGTAATCAAGAGAGAATCTCTGGCTCTGGTCGATTTGATCATTCACCATATAAGGGAGTTTAAAGGAGGAGCCTTTTTTTTTTTAATGATTGAAGCAATTTTTATTTTTGTTCGCGTTTAAACCAGTTGTGGGTAGGAGTGGACATTTTTTTGGTTTGGGTTCAGTTTTTTTTTTTAAAGAAAAAATTATATCCATTTGATTTTTATATTATATTCGTGTCGATTAAGATTCTATTTTGGTTGATAAAATGTTAATTTTTGAAAGAAAATTTCGAATTTGGAGTGAACTCAATTTTTTGTTTTTTGTTTTTAAATTATATCTATTTAATTTTTTATATCAAATTTATTTTGAATACAGCTATAAATAATTGGGTTCGGCTCAATCATTTTTCCCTGCAACCAAGACGCTCGAGGAGGAAAGGAAACTCGGCAACGACGGACATTAGAGTTAATTTTCCTTCCCTGCAATTTTCCAGGCAGCCAAACAGAGTCGAGAGAAAGCACGGATCCATTTCGGGTCGGGTCGGGTCGGGTCGGGAATTGGCGTCTCCGATTTTGTGGCGTCGCAAAGAGGTTTTTTTCCTGGTTCTTGAATTAGGAAATCTCAAAAAAAAAAAAAGCTTTTTTTCTTTTGTACAGTTTATGGACAACTGGACGGGGTTTTGCTAGGGTTTAAGATTGGCTTCTCGGTCTGAGAACCTCTCCTAATCCGCCCAATTTAATAAGAACGTTCCAGAAACGGATCCGAACATTTGGAAACCAATGCTTGAGAGCGCACGGAAATGGCTCCCGTCAATGGCGTAAAGGTTCTTCGACTGTTGACTCGTCGACCTCTCTCCTCGAGGCTTCTCAAGGATTCGGGAAATTCGGTGAGTTATCCTTGTCTTCCCTCGTTGATATGAATTTCTCGGTTGTTCTTCTAATTGATTGGTTGATTACGTTTTTTGTTTGGCTTTTGCGGTTCTTCAGGTTCGCAGGCACGTTTTTGGAGGGAGTTGTAGGAGATTCGATACGGATATTGGCAGCCATGTTAGAGTGCTTGGGAATTACACTTCAAAAGCTGGTAAGCTCTACAAGAAGAGATAAACTGTAACGTTTCGACTTATGTTTATGAATCCGATGTATGTAGGAATGGGTTCTGAACTTCTGATGCATTTGGATTGAGTTCTTCGCAAAAGGGTTTATGTTTTGTTGTTTAAAATGTAGGAAACGGTCGGAAAGGGAACGCCAGTTTGGGTCCAACCAGGTCGATTCATGGAACAGGTAGTATTAGATATTTCTTACTTGGGAAAAGTTCTTAGGTTCCATCCTTGAAGCTCGTTACAATGAATGTACTTTGTGATATTTTGCCATTTTGAACTCCAGGTCCAGCATTTATGCCCGCCCAGGATTATTACGAAGTACTTGGAGTGAGCAAGAATGCTTCAGAAAGTGAAATAAAGAAGGCCTATTATGCCGTATGGATCCAATTCTGATATGTTCTATCTGATTGTCCATGAGAATGTGAATAATTACTTAACAGTCGTTTCTTTGATGGTGCTGGGAACTTGGGTGGTTAATTTTTTGT